TGAATTTTCCTCATCCGATGATAATTCGGTACTAAATTCATCGTCGCTGTCAATAATATTTATGCGTCGTCTGGTAAATGCTACTGAACGATCTTCATCGAACTCAGAATCTAATAAAGGATCTTCGGATCTGTTACCGCTAATGCGTCTAATTCTAATTCCTCTTTTATTTTTCTATGATTTTGTATCCATATTTTGGGGGTATTTGATATATAAATTTGAAAATAGAAGAAAGCACAACTATTATCCTAAATACACTCGAATCTACCACAATATTCCAATGTAACCTGAAAGTTACAAAACTGTATCATATACAAATAGTAACAAAATGATTAATGAAATGCAAATAAATAAATTGTTATTGACATACGAACCCAGAGCTATTATATACGCTTTTTTTTATTTAGTAAACACCGACAAAAGCACAAATAATCTCAACTGCACAAGATGGTCCCTTTGGTTTCTATCTGCAGATAACTTGCAAGGTATTTATTTTGATATTTTAGGTTGACGGTACTGCCAACCGTCACCAATATTGTTATTGGTTATTTCAGAGGCATTATATAATTAAGACGTATACATCATCTTGTGAAAAAAATAAAACTATTTGGTAAAATGTGGATATATTAGCTTGTGACTTGAAAGTTACATGGGCCCATAGAGGGTTAACATAAATTATCAAAGCATCCTCTTTCGAATGATTTCAAACGTTATCTCGAAAACATTTAGTGACACGCGGAATGTTAAAATTGAAAGAAAAAAAACACGGCGGGAACTTGGTTGCCAAGCCACAACGTTAACTTCAACTTTTTGAAATTGTGACTCGTAGCGTTTTTCCTTATAGCCACAGATCTGTGAGACGCTCGGCTAACCGACTACAAGGCTGTCTCGTAAGTAGAGAGGAGGTACTAGCACTAGTTGTGTGTCGACCGCAAACAAGTACTCACCCTGATCACACAGGTCCCCGGTCCAGCCCTCTCTGCAAATACATTGAAACGAGTTCACGAGGTCTACGCAGGTACCACCGTTCAGGCAAGGATTGCCCCTGCAGTCGTTGATGTTCTCGTGGCAGTGCATCCCGGTGTAGCCAGGGTCGCAGATGCATCTCCCGCCGCTGCATCTGCCCCTGCCGGCGCAGGGTGTGCCCTCGCTTCCGCAGCCGGCCTCCTCGTCCATGACGCCGAACTGCGGGTTGTGAGAGGCTGGCTCGGAGCAGTTCTTCCCCTGCCATTGTTCCGGGCAGTGACAATAGTAATCGGTCTGAGTGTTGAAGCAGGGCGCGGAGTTCCTGCACGGGTTCGGGCTGCAGTGGTCCCTGTCGATCTCGCACTGATAACCGGTGAACCCGACCGGGCAGACGCACTCGTACGCGTTCACCAGGTCCCTGCACTCGCCGCCATTCTGGCAGGGCTTCGAGGCGCACTCGTCAATGTCGACGTCGCAGTCCTTGCCCGAGTAGCCCGGGGTGCAGCTGCAGTGATAATGATCGACCAGATCGATGCAGAGCGCCCCGTTCTGGCACTGTCCCACGCAGTCGTTGATGTTCTTCGTGCAGTTCTTACCCTCGAAGCCTCTCCTGCAGCGACACCTAAACAAAACGAACGATCAAATGCGGGAAACCGAGGTGGAGAGGAGATCGGACGATGAACCTTCAACCCCGGCACTTCGGTTCACATGCCCGAGTGCCGAAAGAAGCATCGAGGTCTCCGGTTGTATCGGGGCAGTTCGATCGGGGTCCGATCATCGATTTTCAAGCGTCGCTAATTCGGCCGAATAAATAAATAATGACGGTGAAACGGTTGAGATGCGACTATAAATAAGCAACGCGAAAAATTCAATATTCGTTGGATTTGCGTCACGGCAGTTTCGTTCTACTCGACTAAAGATTAATTGGCGCACCAGCTCTGGAAAGATCAGCGATTGGAACCGTTCACGGTTTACCTTCGTCCCGCGAAATTGTACGAGGGCCGCGGATAAAGACGTTCTAATTTAACCGGCGTTAACGCCGATGTCGGGCTAAGCGTTTTAAGGTGAACCAGTTACGAAACGCGAATGCTTCGAGTAAAAGGTGGCAGGACGTACTTGTAGTCGCCGGCGAGGTTCGTGCAGGTCAGCGAGTTCTTGCACGGGGACTCCTTCAGGGCGCACTCGTCGACGTCGAACTGGCATAGGACGCCTTGCCAGGCGGAAGGGCAGTTGCAGACGAACCCGTTTTTCCCGTCGATGCAAGTGCCGCCGTTTTGGCACGGCTGCGAGGCGCACTCGTCGATGTCGGTCGCGCAGTTCGGCCCGCTGAAACCCGCCGCGCATTCGCAATGCGCGCTTTCCCCTAGCTCTCCCCTGCAGGTCGCCCCGTTTTGGCAGGGGTTGGAGGCGCAAGGGTTGTCGACCTTCTCGCAGGTCGGCCCCGAGAATCCCTCGGGACAGGTGCACTTGTACTGATCCGGCGCCGTGTTCTCACAGGTACCACCGTTCTGACAGGGCTCGTGGGTCCCGCAATAGTTGAGGTCCTGGTCGCAAAGGATGCCGCCCCAGTTCGTGTCGCAGATGCACTGCCAGCTCGAACCGTTGCAGTAACCGTGCTTGCAGCCTGGATACGGGGTGCATTGGTCGCAGCGTTCGCCGCGCCAGCCGTGTCGGCACTTGCACTCGCCGCTTACGTTGCAATGGCCGTGGACCGGGTGGCAACCCTCTTTACACACCGCTGAAAAGACACAAGAGGATCCTCGTTAGTTCGGTCATGGTCCGACGAGTTCGATTTTACGAGATCGTTAACTTCGCGGACGCGAGGACGTTTTAACGGCGCGGCCGGTTTCGCAGTTTCTTCAAGTTGTCGGAAACCCGAGTCACGGATCAAGCTTCCCGTAACCAACTGCCACAAAGCGATCTCTCCATTCTTCCGTTTCTTCGTTTCCCTTTTCGATCGGCGGGTCGAGCGACGAAACAAGAAGAAGAACCACGGCCAGCAGCCATAACTCAGCCGGCCTTCCCGACCGAATAATCCTCCGCCGTTTAACAATGGCTAGCAGACCGCAAGCGGCACAAAAGTCACCCGTGAATGGAAGTTAAAACACAAACGATTAATCCGACCGTGGCCGCGAAAGCATAAGTGTCGGATTATTTTCCACGTCCACGTCCACGGAGGATTATAACGATCATGGATGACTCGTGTGCGTATGTTGTGCGTTTCTATTTCTCTCTCTCTTTCTTTGTCTGGCTCTTTCGGCCGCATCTTCCAGCCAAGGAATAGGAGAAGGAGGGATAGTGGGCCAACAGGATCGCGACGCTTCTTACAGGTGGCAGGATGACGAAATCCAATTTCGTGCGGGCAAGGTACCGTATCTGTGGAAACGACGCTTTCGTTCCCTCAGTTGGACGAAGAAAAAGGAACGTGACGGGGATCTCCGGCCGGGGCCGAGCAACTCAATTAGTCGAGGGGACAGAAAGACGGATGAGAAGTGACAGAGAGAAGGATTATCCCTCTGACCGTGAAACGAAAATTCACGTCGCGCGACACGCGTGCACGAATCCCTCAAACTTTTAATCGGCGTACGAACTCTTTACCGTTACCTCTGCCAAGAGAATGGCGGAGCTGCATACAGGGTGTTCCATGCAACCGTCCACGATCATCTTACAACGATCGACCCACGAAGCACGTCCTCGATAGAATCTAACGGCGACGGAGCACTCTACGCTTCGAATCCTCTACCAAGCTTTGGTGAACAGACTCGATGATTCTTCGTGCAAATTCCTACGTTTATCGACCGTTTTACGAAAAGCAGGCCAATGAAATAAAGATCCGACGAATTTTAGTCAATTTAGACGTTCCCTAGTATTTTACAAACTTGAATGCTGCTAATGAAAACCTCAATCCCCCGTCGCACCCCATTTTCTTCAAAGTTACAACGCGCAGACGTTCTTCGAATATCATCATTTCGTCGAAGGAAAAGAACATTTTTATTCATTGAAACCAACGTTTAACCCTTTGCACTCGAATGGCGACTCTGAGGCGCCACTAAAAAATTGGTGCACCATTTTTCAAAATCATTCTAAGCGCATCGGACTCGTTTCTACTTGAAAAGAAACTATTAAAATTGCATTGTACTTGTCAACAGGCTCAATTTCATGCGCATAAGTCGCAATAAATTATACAAAATAGAACTGCTGTAGATCAGAAATCATGTTTTGGATTTCGAATTCGAATAGCTTCGACCGCAAAGGGTTAAATATTGTCGTCGAAGCGACGGAATTTCATTCCGACGCGAAAGAATGAAATAACGTTCATATACGCGACAGCTTATAATTAGACGTCATTATTACGGGGCCAGACTCGTCGAAATACATGAAAATACGTCGAAGCTGACGTTGATGACGTCTTTCGTCGAGTCTATCCGCAATTCAGAAAAGGTTGAAAAAGGCATCCTCGTGTCCAGGGGACGACGCACGCGATGATGAAATCGGCTTCGTTGCTATCAGCGTGAACGCGGCACATTCGGGCTGTCCGAGAACAATTTCGGTCTCTTCCGTACGTTCAACATGGCGGACGGAAACACGTCGGCCATCTTGGAACGGGCAGCGGAGCCCGGCAGAAAATCGTATATATTATAATACCTATCAGCGCATGAGAAAGAACTTTTTCACCGTCTATCAACCTTAAAACCAGTTATTACAAAACTGTTGATTAAGACGCGGCCGGGCGGTTGCGGCGTCCAGACTCCCGGCGGACACTTCTTCAAAAAGATCACAGAAACCCGCCGTCACGATCTGTCCACTCGAATCTAGGACAGCGTATTTACACGCGGCTAAGTCCCAGCTATTTTTCAGCCTTAATGCCCGTCTATACGTATGTATATCTATCAGCGCGCGTCCACGCGGCTGCGTATTTTCAGCGACGCGTACGAAGGACGTGCAGCATAATGATTAATAGTCCTGCTTTCGGGTCCGCGGACAACGCCGGTTCGCGGATATTTATGCGACTGCAGCTTGACATCCGAGGCACTAAATAAAGACGTTCCTTGGTTCCACCCGCTTTTTTTTACTCTGGGCGTCTCTGGTCGTTTGGATCGCCGCGGACGATCGAGAACGTTCGGTTTCTAATTGTTGCGTGGATCACGAGGATCTAGATCTCCTTCCTGGTCGGACGAGCTCTCTCGCGTCTTGTTCTCCGGCGAACGAGAGACTCGGCCTCCCTCTTTTTTTTCCCTCGGTTTTCCTCAACGGGGACGCAACAGGTGCGCGCCGGAATTACCTAGCCTAGCGGACGAGGAATTGTCGTTTCGTGACCGGCGATTCGCGGTTCGTTTAGGAAAGTCGATTACCGGTCGACCGCCCGATCGAGCGGCTACCACCGCCAGGGTTAATTGCACTTGTCTACGCGTGAAATCGCGTAAATCGAGTGTGTGGGCCGGTTGCATTGGAACGGCGTGACTATAAATCTCGTAAAAACTGCGAAAATTTCTCATCTTTCACCGGCGCGGGATAATCCATCCGCGTTTGTTTCTCCCGTTTCATTTTCTTTTTTGTTTTTTCTTTTTTCACGAGTATTACGAAACGATGAATATCGCGTCTCGTATCCGTGCATTAATTGGACGTCAGAAGAAACGTTGATGCAATGGTAAATTGCGGATACTTTCCACGATTATTATGTATAAAGTGTACCCCTCTCGGCCGCATCAGATCGTGCCTGTTTTTGTTAGGCTTGCAATCAGCACGGCGGATATAAGGATGAAGCGGTCACGGATTTTTCCTCGAATCGAATCGAACAAAGTAGATCGACCGCGGGATATAATTGAGGCAGAGTCACGGACGGGCTAATGGATCCGGAGATTATTCATGTTTGATTAACACCTAGTATAGAGTACCGTTGCCCCGTTGTTCAGGATCTATAAATCCAGCACCGAGCGTCTACAGTTACACGTCTATGAGTTTTTTGTCAATTCCCCGACACCGAGGAAATTAAACTCGCGCGATTCGTCTTCGTACACGCCGGCTTCTTTATTTCCTCTCCCCGTTTGCCGATCCTCTGGTGAACGGTGGAACGGCCGCCGCCGCCGCCGCCGCCGCCGCCGCGAGAAGAATCGAATTACAGGTGAAGGTTCACGACTTTCACGTCGTAACGTTTACCTTTGGCCACGGGCAGAAGCGATAATCTCTCTCCGCGGAAAAGCGAACGTTTACTTATCCGCCGCCTATTAACCGCGACATTTTACGATTTACTCGTTGCGCGGCCGTAAACTCTCCGTTCGGTGAAACTGCACCGCCGGCTTCGAGGACGCGGCACACGTCGGGAATGATCATATTTGTTCCGCCTGACGCCGTTTTGATCGGGAATCGAGATTCGGAATTCGAGAAAAATGTTTCGCTCCGCAGATAGGCATCGCTTTCTAGCGAGTTCGATCGATGTTCCAGGGAAATGGCGGATATTAGAACGTCGAAGAAAGTCGAAATGGCAGTAAGATTCGAGTTATGAGACATGGGAAGTCTCGTTCGTGGGTTTCGAGAGTATCTATGCAAACAAGAACGATTTTATGTCGTAGAATTTCTTGTTTCCAATTGTATTGCAGGTTGATATACAAAAGTATGAGTAGAGGTTGAGTCAGAAGTTAACCCCTTCACACCTAAGGCAAACATTCTTCCTCCATTTTAAAATTGGCGATCGTCGTATTTAATCGTTGGTTATTTTTGATACAAAACGTAATTTGCCAGCGCACAACGTGCGAAACGCGGAGAAAATGTGGAAAAAAGATGTGGAAATTGTGCTGAACGCCGCATAAAAATTAGGGCGCATGACATGTCTACTATATGTGCCATGTTCATGTATGCTTCACAATCGAAAGAAATTGCTTCGCAGAATATTACAATTAGCACATCATTTTATATAAGTAATTTTATTTCATAATTTTGTATTATTTTAGTTAACGTTTTGTTATAAGATACCAATGAATAAAAGACACTGCATAATAAGCCTAACTATAACTTGTGTTACCTTTATGGTCCATTTGGAAAAATGTTTTCCATAAAATTCCAAAAAAACTACGAATTGTTATGTATTTTTCTAATGATTTTGATTTATTTCACGTCTAAACAAGCTAAAATAAACAATTACATACTAACATTTACCCTTTTAGCAACCTTATAATCCTGTAAGGGTTAAGAAACTTTAAATACCATTAACATTCGAGTAAAATTTGATATTTTAATTAGTATAGGTCTTATCATAGCGAAACGTATAACACGTTGAAATGAAAGAAAGAAACAAAGAATACAAAAATGAAACGAAGATTAAAAATAAAAAATTGAGAAATTATAAAAACATATGATTAATATACACACATTAATGTATACATAATACAAATTTGTATCCCTTGTTACGATGGTTTATTACAACCAGGAATACGCGTACGTGTATTTTCTTGATCAAACCAATTTAGTATTTAGCGAGATTTATAATTGAAGAAATACCCAGTTAATATACGAGATTACAAGTAAATGGCAACTGAGACCTTACCGAACAGGAACCTTTACCCAATTATTTTCGCGGGGCGTGCGATGATTAACGATCGGCCCGGAGATGAACGAGTTTTTGGCATCGTTCGGTTGGTTCGCGAGCATCGTCGATTTTACGAGAAGCATCGAGAGTCGTTTTACGATCGTAGTTTACGGCGAAAAGGGGTCAAATGCAAACGAACGTCTGCCACGTCCGAG